GATCTTGCAATTTTATTGCATCTAAAATATTTCCTTCGGGTCTCTCCGAAGTCAAGACATTCTGTTAAAATATGTGTCTAAGTCTAACGGTGAAATCGGTGTCGCATCCGACACAGAACGCCTTCTCATCTCTCTGAAGGAGGGATTTACTTATGTGCTAGGGACGTGTGCATCGTGATTTACTACCCACGGCCATACCTTTTACCACTCACCTTCCTATCGTTCTGACAAATCAAAGCTGCTACCATTCATTCACTACTCACCTGATTAATGTTCCGACAAATCAAAGGTACACACAACCATTCACTACTCACCTGACTAATGTTCCGACACATCAAAGGGTGTCCGTCCCTTGGGCAATTCTCTGGTCTCGACTGGTAACCACCATTTGGTCAGGGCTGCCTCCTTCGTTCTGCTCCAACATTTCCATCTGCGTTTTACGGGCTTTGGACCGTCACATAAATGTGGCCGCATTAAAATGTTTGTGGTTGGGGCGACTGCTGAGCACGGGCAGAAAGTTCTGGGTCAGTGACAGGAGAAAACACAGCGACCAGCGGAGGTCAGACGACAATGACTTTTGGAGAAAGTCCAGGGAGTGGTGCCCGTCAGTCAGTCAGTTCTGCTTCCTTGTCTCCAAGCTATGATCGTGAGTTTGAGGACAACGTCAAGGCCCGTCGCCCTCACTCACCGCAGGAAGCGGAGAAAACTGACGAGCTCGCAGGCCTGCTACAACCATGACCTGCGCACCACCCTCGTCCTGGATGTGGAAGAAGACTCCGGCCCATGCTTCCATCAACGAATGGAGCAACCAGCAGCCACCCCGAACACTTTGGTTGGTGTTTGTCAGTTTTACGGAGCTCGCAACTGCATAAGCCCGAACACTTTCCAAAGATCACAGATCAAAACTTTTCCCCGACTGGAGATGCGCTAAGATAGGCACAGGGAAACATCCTAACCAACACCCAGATAGGCGTAACCTTAAATGCTACAAATCAAGCTTCTAAGTCCAAACGTCCAGCGTGTGTCCGTGATTGTGGCCTCTGGGACAGGAATACCACCAGGCACACAAACACATGTTTGAGGATGTGGCTGAGAAAGTTTTCAACCATTTTGACAAAGGAAGGAGCATTTTCAAAACCACTGATGATTATGTACAAGTACAAGTGGATGTACGAGTTTGTATGAAAAACTTGATGCAGAAATGTCTCATCAGCGTAGATGGACAGGACGGGGGGAGGGCTTACCAGTTCCGCAGTCGTGCGTTCCACGGACGAGATTGCGAACGTACAAAACATCAGACTCACCATCTGTACCGACCTTCAAAAAGAAGAAGGACGATGAATAACATCCCAACCAACACCCAGATAGGCGTAACCTTAAATGCTACAAATCAAGCTTCTAAGTCCAAACGTCCAGCGTGTGTCCGTGATTGTGGCCTCTGGGACAGGAATACCACCAGGCACACAAACACATGTTTGAGGATGTGGCTGAGAAAGTTTTCAACCATTTTGACAAAGGAAGGAGCATTTTCAAAACCACTGATGATTATGTACAAGTACAAGTGGATGTACGAGTTTGTATGAAAAACTTGATGCAGAAATGTCTCATCAGCGTAGATGGACAGGACGGGGGGAGGGCTTACCAGTTCCGCAGTCGTGCGTTCCACGGACGAGATTGCGAACGTACAAAACATCAGACTCACCATCTGTACCGACCTTCAAAAGGAAGAAGGACGATGAATACGGACAGGAAAATGATCAAGTTCCTCATCAGAATGCTGAAACAGTATCCGTCGGCAACCGGTTGTCACCAACAGATCCAACAAGTGCCGAGTTTGCTCAAATCATATCAATCAAGTGGAAAGTCAGTCAGTTCTGCTTCCTTGTCTCCAAGCTATGATCGTGAGTTTGAGGACAACGTCAAGGCCCGTCGCCCTCACTCACCGCAGGAAGCGGAGAAAACTGACGAGCTCGCAGGCCTGCTACAACCATGACCTGCGCACCACCCTCGTCCCGGATGTGGAAGAAGACTCCGGCCCATGCTTCCATCAACGAATGGAGCAACCAGCAGCCACCCCGAACACTTTGGTTGGTGTTTGTCAGTTTTACGGAGCTCGCAACTGCATAAGCCCGAACACTTTCCAAAGATCACAGATCAAAGCTTTTCCCCGACTGGAGCTGCGCTAAGATAGGCACTGGGAAACATCCCAACCAACACCCAGATAGGCGTAACCTTAAATGCTACAAATCAAGCTTCTAAGTCCAAACGTCCAGCGTGTGTCCGTGATTGTGGCCTCTGGGACAGGAATACCACCAGGCACACAAACACATGTTTGAGGATGTGGCTGAGAAAGAGAAATGTCTCATCAGCGTAGATGGACAGGACGGGGGGAGGGCTTACCAGTTCCGCAGTCGTGCGTTCCACGGACGAGATTGTGAACGTACAAAACATCCGACTCACCATCTGTACCGACTTCTAAAGGAAGAAGCCTTGATTCTATTAAGGAGCTGAACCATCTTCCAAATTCATATGGATTCAAAAAATACCAAAGACACTTCTACAACTCCCAACGTGAAAAAGTCTCAGCTCGCGGAAGCGGTGTGGCCACCGAGCCGAGCAAACAAACCACAAAAGGTAATAATGGACCTTTACGGCCCTCATTACCCTCCCTCTTCATAGGGAGCTTCCGCGGCAGCCTTACGCGACCATCCGCAGAACTGATGCGCAGAAAAAGATAACAGATCTCAACCTTTTCAAAACAGGAGAAGCACTAAGACAGAATCTGGGATACATTCCTACTAATGTCCAGAAACTGTCCTCTGGTGCACTGCCTTAAAAACTTGATGCAGAGATTATTATTGAAGAAGTAGTGAGGTGAGGAGACCACACAGAGCTGGCCCTGTGAGGATGAGAGGAACGTTCCTACCTCCATGAGCTCCTGGACGATGGAAAAAGGCGAGCCATCACACAATGCTACTCACACATCCAGTCAACTCAACGCAATGGCCACCAATACTCATCTCGGCAGAGACATACATGTTATATGTCACCTTCTCTCACCTCAATACCAAATCTCAACATCAGATGGGTTTACAAAAACTCGAACAATGAACTTGTACCACAGAAAAAAGGTATATGCCTCAACTGTGAACTGTGATGAATTCGACAAACTGGTGGAATCTATACCAGTGATAAGATGACAAATGAGGAGTTTATCCGACTCAAAGCGGGTGCCCCATTTGTAGAAGATGTTGAGGAAAGATTTTACACCATAAAAGACAGCACTCGACAACACGAGTACACTTGGAACTTGGGCTGCTCTGGACAGACCACCACAGTCAGCTCTGGTACAGTCAGCTCTGTCCTCCTTGTCAGGAAAAGAACTGACCGGACTTGAGAAGATCACGACTTCTGGTGGTGTTCCTTGTGTATCCGAGAGACACCAAAAGTTTCACCAATCGAAAGACAGGATCTGCAGCCATGAGCTGAAGGGCAGTAAACACGATACATAACACAATTTACACCAAGTGGCCCTGCAGTTTACTGTTTTTCTTATTTATTTCAGGAAAACTGAGAATGACTACTAAATCAATACCTGATGAGGACTTCACAGATAAGTTGATTGATGAAGGAAAGACACCTTCCGGTTTGAAGCCCATGAGGGTAAAACCCCCCCCCCCAAAAAAACATTGGGTTTTTTTCTTTTAAAAAAGAGTGACTTAGTTTCTTCATTGCAAAGATCGGAATCAGAGATGTATTGGACCACCGTCAAAATGATGAACTGTCACTGAAATATAATTCTCCACTGTCGCAAGCTTTTGTCAGAGACAAATGTACCACACACTCCTGGGGCTAATCACTGTTGGAAAAATGTTTTAGTACGAGTTTTACGGCGCTTGCAACTACATAAGGTCACTGTTGGAAATATTCACGGACTTTATCACCCCCACTGACTTAATTAAGATACTTTTCCTCTCACACCAGACATCTGTAGGACTAAAAATAACAACAAGATGAACATGAACATTTCAAGACAAGAAACATGGCAGCCACGCAACTCCTCTCCTCCAGCTGAACTTCTCCAGCTACAGAAAGAGTGTTGGGAACATAGATGGTTGTCACGAATCTTCAATGGTTGGTTGCTACGAATATTCAATGGTTGCCTCGAATCTTCAACATATCAACCATGCAACTCCTCTCCTCTAGCAGGAAAAAGAGTTGGGAACATAGATGGTTGCTCTACAACAACTGAAAACAACACTTTTAATCGTAACGACTAACCAATGCAATACGGAACACTACTGGGGGAGATGCATGTTACTCTTCCACCAACTGTCATTATAAATCGCTGCTACTTATCTAATCTGCAATGCATTTCTGGCCAACCTAGGATGACCTACATTTACGGCATTTGCAACTGCATAAGTCGGGGAGGTTGGAGGGGTGGCTGAGGTAAAACAACGGAAAGTCTCATCTCCCCTGAAACATTTGTCTTTCCCTACTTGTAACATATATGTTCATTCCATCAAGTCAACAAGTGTCACGTTCTACGCCTCTTTGGCAAACTCCACCAGGAAAGAGCCGAGGTCTTGTAAGACCTGCTGTGACCTTGAGCTCCACAAAGTCAAGCTAACAAGCTAACGGGGTATTGCATTCCGTCACTGGACACCGACTTCCCTCCCTTTGCTGCCATCACTGACACTAGGGGGTGCTCGCTATATCGGCCCAGCACAGAGACGGAACTTGACGGAAACATCAGCACTGCTACTCCACTGCTTTAAGTAGACTCGCCATACGGAAACAGCACTGCTACTCCCACGGCTTAAAGTAGACTCGCCATACGGAAACAGCACTGCTACTCCACTGCTTTAAGTAGACTCCCCATGGGCAATACGGAAACAGCACTGCTACTCCCACGGCTTAAAGTAGACCTCGCCAAATGCCATCTTCAAAAGTGACGCATGACTGAGTCTTCCACAGAGCAGCTGAACTGTTACGTCTTTTTTTTTTCAGTAAGAGTTTTACGGCGCTCACAACTGCATGCGGTCATAACTATTATAGTGTAGGCCATCTTGACCAGGTTCATGTACACAAAGTTTGCACACACAAGTTATCCACCCCCCCCCCCCAAAAAAAAAGCATTAATTCCATCTTTTGACATGTCGCATGGATAATTTTTCAATTCATACGAGCGCGCGGCAGCGGTGGGGGTGGGGAGAACAAACCTGTATCTAATGAGCCGCGGTAAACTCTTTCTTTGTTTCTATTTACTTTACGTGCAAGGAGCAGTGGTGGTACATTCGCCTCTCATAAGAACAAAAAGTTAAATGGAAGTACAGGCGACACAGATCAAAGACACGAGTGTACACAAACAATCAACATTTCTGTCTCTCTCTCTCTCTGTGCCCAAGCTGTGGTATTTCAAAGAATTACACTTTCAAAGAGATCAAGAGCTCTAAAAAAGTATAAAAAGGAAAATCTCCACAACCTAAAAATGGATATAGTAGAAATTTACTTACGTCAAGAAATGCTGCGATTCCACCGACCCATCGATCTGCTCGTCAGCGGGCAGACAACAAGGAGTCTTGGAAAGACCAATCAGACCCCTCGTGAAAACAGCACAACGTGTAAATATCTGGAAGATATCAGGCGGGTGAAGGGCCTGACAACCCTCGTCGTCTGAAAGTCAAGAGTACTAATTTGACATCGCTCGACATGGCGTGGGTGTCGAAATACCAACACACACACACACATGAGAGAGATGTGAAGGGGAGATAACTAGGTGTGTGTCAATGTGCCCCCTTGTTGGGCTCCGTGGCGGGCGGGAAGCCCCGGAGTCGAATCAAATATAAAAACTCTCATGGATTCTAAAAACCCTAAAGACCCTTCAACAGCCCCAGACGGAAAGAAGCCTTGGCTCGCAAAAGTTCAAAAAATGGTAAAAGGACCTTTTCCGACGCCTCCTTCCTCCCTCCTCACAAGAAGCTTCCGAGGCGACCGTACGTGGCCATCTCCAGTACAAAAGACGCACAGAGAAAGATTACCGATCTGAGAGAAGCAGAGGTAACCAATATATGTATTACACAGTCCAAAAGAAGATGCTGAACTTGTGTCCAGAAGACCGTGTAAAATTCTGCGGGAATTCCATCAAGTCCAGAGGCAGACCTATCAGACCCATTTTTCATTTTTTGGAGTGCTGCAAGAACTCTCTGCTGATGGGGCTGTCAAGGAAGTTTTTTTCTTCCATGCTCAATCTGGAGACAGCAAGGTTTTCCATAAACTGGTATTGTTGATAAAACTATTGCTCTCCATTTTGACTTTCCCGATGATTTCTTGTCACATCTCCATTGTTTTCAACAGAGAAAGTACAGTTCATAACAAAGAGGGAGCTAAAGAAGATGTCACATTTTCAACGTTGAAAAAACGGAGATGCGACAAGAAAGCACTGAGGTCGCGAAATGTTATAAATAGTTTTCAGCTGAATTTTAGCTTGAAAGGGACATGAAACAATGTACTTCACCAGCCCTTTCCACTGCTTGTGACCCAATTTGTGCAAATTGTTTCCCACCAGATCGGGAGTGACTCCAGTGTTGTGTTCCTCACGGCTCACCAGGAACAGGCTGACGTTCAACAACATCCGGCAGTTTGTGTCTGATGAGTGTAAGGACATTCTATGACAAGGCATCCTGAACCGACTAAACGATCACCAAGTCTCCTGGGAATGGAGAGTCCTGGTTTCGTCCCAGCAGGTGTCGTTCATGGTTGGCGCAATGAAAGAGTATGTGGAAAAAGTGGACGAACATCTGCTGGAGGACCTCACTCATTTGTTTCATGTTCACCAGACAGGGTCTGCTGGAGGACCTCACTCATTTGTTTCATGTTCACCAGACAGGGTCTGCTGGAGGACCTCACTCATTTGTTTCATGTTCACCAGACAGGGTCTGCTGGAGGACCTCACTCATTTGTTTCATGTTCATTTTTAACTTTGGAAAGTGGTGGCACGAGTTCCCCACGTTGTATGGATACAATAGTAACTAACACAAAGGAAAAATGGGATTAATCATTTAAAAAACTGACTTTGTATAATAATATAACCGTACAAAAAAAAAAGGTGAATCTAATTATTCTATTATTCATGTTATTTGACTTTTGACAGTTTAAAAAAATTGTCGAAAAAAAGATAATTGAACATATGTGAGGTAGCGCAGTGAAATCAGGCGCTCGTCAAAATACCGAAATCAAAGAAACAGGCATTTTTCCACCAGTTTGGAAATAATTTCTATTTTTCGGCTTAATCTCTTTTATGTCCATATAAAATATAAAAAAACAAGTCCTGGACTTTACTGAAAAACATTGATTAAAGGCATAAAATATGTCATTTTTCAGTTTTCAAAGACTGTTTAGCTATTGCAGCTATCAAACTTTGGCCGCCATTTTCTCGATAATTTAACCATTGAAATCAGGCGACCTCACTTTCTTCAATGGCAGCTATATTGAAATCTATCGAAGATAGTTGGATTTTTTTGGTATCTAAAGCAAGGCAAGTGAACAAGCTCTAAGATGATACCAGTAACTCCAAATGCCCCAAAATTGACGAGCGCCTGATTCCACCACGTCGCGACACACACATATTAAAAAGAAGAATAACATTTAGAAAAAGGTAAGAGAGTATAAATGTACCAATAAATCACCTTCTACTTCAGGATGACAGTCAAACGGACACTTCTCTCGTACTCATACGACGAAGCTGATACTACCTGTATTTATCGGTGCGTGTAACCGGGGCTAAAATTGAAACATGCAAACAGACAACACCGTAAAAAAAAAAAAGTCAGTTCTCTGATACGACGAATCTGATACATGTACAATTTACCGTTGCATGGAACCGGGGCTTGAAATATATATGTCGACCAATGAAATCGCGCGGAACCGATCATGCACTCTCGGTAATTACATGTTATTTGGCCCTGGACCCCCAACCAGGGCGAATATTAATAATAATTGGCAGAGGTCTGGGGCCGCAAGAGGGGGGCCCCTGAAGCCAAAGAAAATTTGCAATTGAGAAGCTGAAATTTGGCCTCTCTGGGCTAAAATAAAAAAAATGAAAAATGACCAAGGAAAATCACTATTGAACTTTAACCAGGCCTAAACTGGTAAAAGGAAAATCAGTCCTATTCTGTTATTATACTTGGTCGTAGTAGTAGTATAAGGTTTTACGGCGCTCGCAACTGCTAAGGTCATATGAGCGCGCGAAACACAAGTTGTTCACCTCTGCGAAAGTTCACTTCACGACTGGTAACTAATTTACTTTAAAATGCTAAAAAGTTAAAATATTCAAATTCGGTGTAAATACATTTGTGATCTAAAACAACTTTTAAGTAACAATAAAATTTTTTAATAATATCAGATTTCCTTTACAACTCGCCATAAAGGCCAATGGCCTTTATAAAATTTAAAATTCTGCTGGGAACAACGACGGAGAAAATATCCTGCAATTTCTTGCATTTATAATGTTTCCTTCGGATCTCTCCAAAGTCTAGACATTCTGTTAAAATGTGTCTAATGGTAAAATCTGTGTCGCATCCGACACAGAACGGCTTCTCCTCTCCCTGTAGTAGGTATTTGTGGGTCAGGGCCGTGTGTCCGATGCGCAATCGAGTAAAAATGACTTCGTCTCTTCTGGAGAGATCCGAAGGATTTCGCTGTTCTAATCTGGGTTTAATTTCATATAATTTATTATTTTTCTGGTTTTCCCAGTGGCTCTCCCACAGACTGGAGGTGTACTTTTTGACTTTATTTCTAAAGTCAGTCTGTGGGAGAGTGTTTGTCGTTGATCCCAGCAGAAGGGATGAAGCTTTCTTCGCCAGGTCGCCTACCTGCTCGTTTCCTCGGATGCCCACATGGCTGGGTATCCATGCGAACATGATGTTTTTTCCTGTTTCGGATAGTGTATGGATTTTCTGTTGTAGCCTAACTATTTTTGGGTGTAGGAGTGTGTAGTTTGTGAGTGAAGTGATGCAAGACAGAGAGTCAGAAAGGATAAGGAAAGATTTGTTAGGGGAATTTTCTACAGAGTCCAGTGCCATGTCAATGGCAGTGGCCTCCGCAGTGAAAATGGAGGCTTCAGGATGGAGTCTCCTCTGGTGTGTATTGTTGGGAGATAGGGCTGCGGCGCCCACTTCATTGTCAGTGGGGTGAAGTGTACTCACACCTGCGATGTGGATGGAGAGGATGTCATATTCCAAGCAGAATTGCTACGTTTTGAGACATTCAAGCAGAAGCCTTGCCTCGTAATAACGTACCAAGAGGACGCCACAACAGCTGCTAGAGAGAGCAAAATCCCCGTCACGGAATTTTTGACGGATGCTCTTTTGGACAATGCAGGGCTCCCCTTTACGCACGAATGCGTGAGTATATTATTACGCATTAAACCTGCAGAGTATGGGTTTTGGCTCCACCGAGCATCTAAACAATTACTTTTCGGTGCGCGAGTCCATACGAAGTCTGACGTGCGGCAAGCGAGAGGGATGGCACACAGCGAGAGAGAAAGAGGGGGAACGCCGCGCGGTGTTGGTTGCTGGGTGCGTAGGGACGATGAATGATAATGAACGTAATATAATATACTCAAGTTTTGGCCCCAGTTAGTAATGCCGAAGAAAGAATAGTTTTAACAAAGGCTAAGAGAGAACCGGAGTGTAGTATAATGGGCGGCCCCTTACAAATTTAACAAATACTCCGGGTCTAACCCAAATAAGTAATTTTAATTAAAGGACGAAAACATTGCTAAGGCAAAGAGGGGTATTGGGGCTCAAAGCGGATTTTAAGACAACTAGATGCTAGATGATCTAAATGGTTTAACTTTTGTGGAGATATTTAAGAAAAAGAGTTAGGGGGAGGGGGGTAGTGTCGTTGATTATTGGGGCTAAAGCCTGAGTGTAGTAGATCTACAGTGAATAAAGGAGCTGACCCAGCTTCCCGTACATAAATCTACCCCAACTCCACGTCTCTGTTACCGCTGATGTTGAGGCATCGCCGCTGATGTTGAGGCATCGCCGCTGATGTTGAGGCATCGCCACCGACGTTTCTCAACAAAGACAGCAGCACAGCGCACAGCGCCATCGGGCTCGATTTCAAATTTTTTTTAACCTCTGATGGAATCGATCAATGAAAGAGGCGGTGAAGCAGCCTGCTGTGGTTGGGTTTTGATTACCCATGGTGCGACCCCCCACCCCCACCGTTTAGATCTAAACTACGTAATGGTTCAGTGAGTATTCAATGAAACGCAGCAGTGCTTGAGAGATGATCAATCAGAGTCCAGATTAAGGTAGGCTATAATTAGTGGCTAGGCCTACCGTAATATGAGGTAAGTGAACTGTTGGAAAACTTATTGTTTTACAAAGTAACCAATGAAAAGAAGCGTTTTTGGACAACGGTCAATCAGAGTTCTGATCAAGGCCTATGAGGTAAGTAAGAAATTTGAAAACTAATTGTCCAATGCTTATTCTTAATCATAATCTAGATCAAATCAGTTCCAGCATTTGCATTCAGTCTGTTCTCTTGTCTTTGAGTGTTCTGATGCTGCGCCTCGTGTTAAAACTATGATTCTCTTTGTGATGGCTGGTAATTTCAATGTGAAGAAGGATATTGATTCAATTACTCTTGGAGATATTTATAATCCTTATAATTTTTTTCTGATTCTTTTGCAAGAGGACAAAGTTTTATTTGTGGCTTATAAAGTTCGGACTTGTTCCAAGTGAGGAGAGTTTTGTTTGTGACAAGTGTTCAAGTAGTTGAAAAGTTTCCTAGAGAAGTGACAAACGCATTTGGTATAGATTTCGATGCAAAAAAAACCCCCTGAATTCACTGTGAGTAAGTATTCTTTTTTTGAACGTCCGCATGCAGAAATTCGGGACATCCTGGTTTTTATTCGATCATATTTATTGGGACTGTCTTTAAATAAATGTGCATCCAAAGCGGTTTACACTATAAGAGTACATGTGTTGACTGGACAGACTGGGCAAACTTTGTACGAGACAAGTAAGTCACCTCAACGTTTAACTCATTGAAGACATGCCTAAGGTCCGGCGGAAAATGATTAATACTAATACTAATACTAATCAAAGATGGTGGTGCATTTCCCTCGCTGGACAGAGAGGTTTCTGCTGACATTATAATAATGACAAAATCCGTCTATTGTTAAAGCTTTTAAGGAGACGAAAAAGAAGAGAGATCCATTCACCTTAAAATTCAGAAAACGCCTGTCTAAATTTGTTGACAACGTGAAAAAAAAGTATAGGTCTCTTGGCCTGGATAAGCAAACTGAAAGGGATGAGAAGAAACCATATTACAAGAAATTTTCAAATATTAAACCCACTATTGAAAAGTTTTTTGATGATAACGCCATAGATCTTCCTGGCATGAAGACTGTTAGCAGAAGGTCTATGAGGCAGAAGAAAGTTTTGAATGTTCCTGTTGTACAGCTGTACAAGCAGTTCAAGCAGGAGCATCAAAACAGTAAAGCATCCTTGAGATCCTTTTTCAGGCATCGTCCAAAACACATTTTAAGTTGTACGAAGATGCCATTGCAACAATGCAAGTGTGAAATATGTATTAATCCGTCGTTGAAACCTAGAAGTTTCAATAAAGTGACCAAGGGCACTTTACAAATGAATGACCTCGTAGACCTTACTCAAGGTCAATATTATAACTTTTTGGACAAATTGTCATATGAAAACCACTTTTTATGTAAGCTGACATGTACAGCTACCTTTGTTGTAAATAATACAGCTGTAAACCTTACTGTTATTGTTCACCAATTTTTTTAAATACCCCAAAACAGTGTGTCACCAGGGAATAGCAATGCCAAAAATAGCGCGCCTTCAATGAGTTAATAAAATTACATTTATCAAAAATATCAGATGAATGCTTAAACAATCTTTGGGTCAACTCCATGGAAGTTAGTACTAACATACTAAGCCCATATCCCACTCATGATAAGCAGAGGGGAAAACAGTTTTAGCAGGAGGGGTCAAAAAGGTGGTACGGTCTACGCCCAGCTTTACCCTACCTAGACAGTAAATTCCGATCATCAATTTATCATAACTTTTGAACTAATTAAGATAGAAAATTGATTCTGATATCTTTGTAAAGCTCTTGAAAAGCTCTTTTTAACATAGGGGTGGTAATTTGAATTTTTGGTATAAATAGATCTAAGTCTATACG